ACACACACACACACACACACACACACACACACACACACACACACACACACACACACACACACACACACCTTTATAAACTGCAGAATATCCGACGTAGAACAATCGCTTTTCGTGACCTTTCCACGCTAATTACCTCAACCTCATATAAGCCGCCAGTTATCATCCCACGCCGAGAAATAGAGTAGGCCTTTTGTAAACCATGGGAAAGTGGTACAGGCTGGTGTGTATGCTAGCAGAGCTGGAGAGGACGAGGGGGGCAGCCAGGGCAGCCTCTATTTGACGAGAGCGGGCGCGCAGTGTCACACTGACACGGAACACAAAAGCCGGGGCAGGATTAGCTGTACGATTCTATCAACATGGCCCCCGTACGCACACGCACGGCAGACGAGCACGGCAAATTTCCATCTAATTGTTTCCTAACGACTTAATTATAAACGAATCGTCCGCGCCGTCGTTTTGTACGAAAGATAGAAACAGTGCGCGCCATTGATGCGGGCGCAGCTATCGCGCATGCGCAGCTCTCGCGCATGCGCCGCTCGCGCGCGCTCTAGAACAGATGTGTGTCATTGTTTTAGAACGATGGCGGAAGAGACTCGTCGTGATTACGAGGGGGGAGGGGGGAGGCGTGATTACGAGGAGGGGGAGGGGCTCGGCGTGGTGGGGCACCCTATAATTGCCGCTACACCCAACAGCGTGGCGACCCCCATCGCAACCCGCCTGTCAATGAACGCTTTATCGGAGGGAGGGGGGCGAGGATTGTGCGCGGGCAGCAGCGGTGGGTGGAGGAGTGGGAGGGGAGGCGGGCGGATTAGCGTGGAAAAGTAACCTCGTGGGCGGAGCCATGCGAGCGCACTTGACGCGCTAGAGGTTAAATACTATGGCGCTCGCGTTCGTGCACGGATTGCACGGGGAGCGTTGTGTGCATACGGTACGTGCCTGCTACGACTGCTGCAGCTCAACTATGCAGTGTTACGTGTTAGCAAATATACTACCTATATAAATATATATATATATATATATATGTATATATATATATTATGTATATATCTGTATATATATATTTGTGTGTGTGCATAATATACACATTGTTCAAACTACTTTACTGATTTGCCGTGTCTTTGTGCTTCAGGGTATACCTCACAACAAGAGAGCTAGCTTGTAAAATTAGAAGATGCGGTCATCTACAGCGTTTCTGATTCTTTGCCTGGTGAGTACCATACGTATCAGCTACAGTACTGCTGTCACCGAATTCCAAAATGCTACGACAACTAGTACTACTAGTAGTAGCTCGCCATCTTTCCGTGATAATAAATTCGATTAAAGACGATAAATTATTTAAGTTTTTATCTTCAAATGCGATAACTGCTCCGTTGTTTTACATTCTACAACGATTGGGGGGGGGAGGGTTATCGGAAAGTATGTGTATTGCACGCTAGATAGCAGCGTCTACGTGATCCTGCCTACGATTAGTAGTCATCTGTTAACACGACCGTTTCCCTTGTTCAGGCGGTCGTCGGAGCATACGCCTCGTACGGTCGCAGCAGAGGCGGCGGCGGATACGGAAGAAGTCGCGGATACGGAGGCGGCGGATACGGAGGAGGGCGTAGTGGTAGTGGCTACGGAGGCGGCGGATACGGAGGAGGGCGTAGCTACGGAGGCGGCGGTCGCGGATATGGAGGAGGCGGATACGGAGGAGGACGTAGTGGCTACGGAGGAGGAGGATACGGAGGAGGAGGCTACGGAGGAGGAGGATACGGAGGAGGAGGATACGGAGGAGGAGGATACGGAGGCGGCGGATACGGAGGCGGCGGATACGGCGGCGGCGGCGGCGGTCACGGCGGCGGTCACGGCGGCGGATACGGCTACAAGCCGTCGTACTACTACGGTTACTTGCACAAGCACACGACGACCACGCACTCCCCGTACGTGTACTTCAAGAGGCATACCATCCCCTACGAAGATTTGTACGAGTCCACCTACACGGATCACTACGTGTTCCACACACCAAGCCCGTGCTACGGATACCATTGTAAATCAGGCGGATACGGAGGAGGCGGCGGCGGATACGGAGGCGGTGGTGGTCATGGTGGTGGTCACGGTAGTAGTGGCGGCTACGGAAAGAAGAAGTAAACGATACGCGGCAGAGTAACCATATTGTGCCTTGGCCATGCAACAGTTTGATTAAATTCGCAGTTTTTTATATTTCGGGTAAAAAAATGTCTAAACGGCAGGCTGGTCAAAGACTAACCTTAACGCACTGAGGCTCTCAAACTTGTCTACACGCTCATTTTGCGATTACAATGCTACGATTCTAGATACAATCGTGTCGTGTTACATCAGAACGTCTTACATCGTTGACGTCAGAAGAGATGGCAATAGCATATTTTTGATCTATTTTAGTTCACCAAAGCAACCTCTTTATTTCTCTCAACTGCCCTTGGTTCAAAAATCGCTCAAAGTAACCACAGATGAAAGTCTAGACAAATGTTAGCAAATTGGGAGATGTAGTTCAAGTCGTCGTTCTACACAACAAAAAGGGTCAACGAGTTAAATTACGTTTCGATCAGTGCATCGATCAGGTGTCAATGTTAATTAACTATTGGGAGCAATTGTGCAAAACCTCAAGAGCGGAGGATTCCCGTGTAGGAGTGAATGAAGATGACCTGCTGGACAGCAGCGCCGCCTAGTGGCCGTTGTCGCTCGTCCCAGGTAACCGACCGCCATCTATCCGCGGAATAAGCAACTAATCGAGTTCAATACAGCAGACAGAGCGGACAGAAATGCGTTTCGATGGAAAGATAACGAGCCGAAACGAATTTTATTTTTTATCCCCCCGGCAAAGTACACCATCTCCCCGCCAGAGACGTTAAATTCTTGCGCCTGCAGCAGACTCACTATAAACCGTCTCGATTCCACGTGTCATTATCATTCTATAGACCTCATACTGAGAACGAGAGCACGCAGATTCTTGATTCTCGTTTCTCTTTGAAATCTCATCAAAAATTTATCGTACCTGTATTTAAGCCCACTTGCATGTTTTTATTTTCTGTTGTATATAATTATAATACGTGTGCGTGTAATATAGACAGATATTTGTTCCCCGCACGTGTATACTATCCATACACGAGCATTGCGGATGGCTGAGGGGTTCCCTCCACCACTCTAACTCTACGACACCTTGTCGTAAACATATCGTCATCGCGGTGACCTGGCAATGATTTAGTATCCCTGGTGCACTAACACCATGTTCGTTTGCAACGGCTATATTGACTGCGCTGCACCCACCCTTAGCCTCGCCCCCACACTAACGGAATTACACCCCCCCTCCCCGATCACAGGGACCGGGGCACCGGGCCGGAGAAAAATACACACGAGTTGGATGAGCATGGATGAAGCTGATATAATGGGAGAGCGAATGCCTGCTTCGTTGCCCAGACAATGTGTCGTATGCGTGTGCATGTGCGTGCGTGTGTGTGTGTGTGTGTGTGTGTGTGTGTGTGTGTGTGTGTGTGTGTGTGTGTGTGTGTGTGTTCTCACCCTTCTGGGTCTAGAGGCAATTCCTATTGACTTCTATATTACTCTGCACCCGTTACAAAAACCTCCACTGTGTTCGCACAATCTAAAGCGCTCCGTCATCCAAACCTGCCCCTCCCCCCCCTCCCCCCGAGAGGGTTACAGTTCTGATACTGCGAGACCGACTCCTGTTATCCTTAATGATTGGACAGCTATTTTAGCACTCGTGACTCAACTACCTGTTAACGTTCTAACAATTTTGATTTTTTTGTACTGCAAACAAAACGTAATTCCACCGTTAGGTGGCGCGTATCTGTGTGGAAGCGAGATTTATGTACCTTGTATGTCTGTATGTAAGAATCATGTAACTTACGAATGTCTGTAAAGTCGTCCGACGTAGCTAGCGTAGTTTCACCCACAGTTAGCAATCATTTTATAGTATTGTTGTTAATATTATTGTCAGTGTTATATGTGGCAATGTTAATTATATAATATAAATGATATTTGTCACCAAACACAATTACTGCGTACTTGATTTCAGTGTTTGTCTGGTTTACTAGTCTGTGGAAGAGAAATCTTGCGTCACACGCACAGTTTCAAAACATGTAGACATCAATACAGCAGACACAGGCAGAACTAACCGATATCGCGAGAGGCCATAAATATTATCTACACTTGATAAAAGCGAAGTGGTACTACATTATTACATATTACACTTCATTACACGTGCTGCTATGATACATAGTATATACCACGCATTCTCCATCTGAATGAACATAACTTCCTAAAGCTGACTTGACAACGAATCGCTACTGTAATGAAAACCAACTCTGTTCTGTAAAAAGATCGAGTATGAAATACACATCTATATATGAATATGTGAAATATATATATATATATACTCAACATACAACAGCTACTTTTGAATCGAATAGCAATACACCTGGTATTTGCCCACGTGGTATACATGGGTACGTTATGCCCTTCATACATCTAATTGGACTGTGAGAATCACGTGGTCCGTAAAATAGCTGACGTCACGTTCGACACCTTTGACCGCGCGTTATCCATCACGTGGTTGTCACGTGATCGATTAATCTTACAGGACATCTTGTCGATATGTAGATATTAAACAGGATTGTCGCTGAAAACGGGCGGAAAAAAATATTGCAATTGTAAACAAGAATATCTTTCACATATATTACAATATATTTGCGATTCTACACAGCCGATTATGTCTGCTAACATTTCTTCATTTTTATTTTACATATCCATGCAAATACCACGCGTGAGCTATATATATATATATATATATATATGGGGAAGTCCCGTCGAAGCAAAAGTCACGAACCGAGTTAAGATGGCGGAGGCGAAGAGGGTCAGGCACTGTCTACATCCCCGTAAGAGGCTTGCTCACGAGCTCCCAACACGACAACAATGGCCATACGTCACGCTGCATTGTTACTGCTACTGCGGATAGAGAGCGCGACGAGCGTCGATCTCGCTCGGCGGCGGCCATTTTCTCGGTCAATAGGCCATCATCGGCGTGAGAGCGGTTACGACTCGGGGAGGCACGGAGGCTGAGTGCGAGGTGCACTCGCTGGGGCGCCACAGATGAGAACTAGAGGCGCTATTATGAGAGGAGGGGGGATTAACCGCGAAACCGTTTAGCGAAACTCGGAGACTTAGCCGGAGACGCGCCTTCTTCACGCGCGCGCGCCCAACTCACACGGCACCGCGCGCGAGTCAGGCACGACCTTTTGACCTCGGCGTCGCAGGAAGTATATGGAGGTAGAGAGAGAGAGAGAGATAGAGAGAAAGAGAGAGAGCGCGAGAGAGAGAGAGCGAGAGAGATTCTCTCGCCAGATCGCGGTCGACCGCTGGCGGTTGCACTCCGTCCACGTCGTTCCGCTTGCATGAATGCGTGCTGGCGTGTGTGTGAGCGTGCGTGCGTGCGTGCGTGCGTGCGAGTCGTCCTTTCGTGGGTGGTAGACAGGTTGCTCGTGTAGTCGTCGTTGCATCATCCGCCTCCTCACCCTTGCCTTTCCGCAGCTTCAGGTGGTGCACACATCACGATGCCGCTGTCCGGCCCACGTGCATTTCATCACGATGCAGGGCTTCACATGCGAATGTGAAACGTACTGAAAGTAGACGATGTCAGAACATTACTTTATCTCTATTTTATTTTTAGAAGCGATGTAACGATGTCATATTTCCCTGTCGACCTACCCCCGCTGTAGTGCCAATCCATCTTCATCTACATTGTCAGCTTGCTAGGGCAGATGGGGTCGTTGTCGTGTCAGGTACTACAGATATGTACCCGAGGTAGTTTTAGGTTGTTTAGTATTATTTTTATATTTTTATATGAGGTATGTTTAGGGTTGGGGTTAGGGTTAGGGCTAGGGTTAGGGTTAGGGTTAGGGTACATTTCTGTAGTACAAGTCTGGTACACTTTGTGTATACATATATAGTACCTGATACGACAACGACCCCTTGAACCTTGCTAGGATGCGATCTACATTCGCTTTACACTTAATTTAACATCGAAAACCGATTAAAATCTTACATATTTTAGCTAAGATGCGATCTACATTTGCTTTACACTTAATTTAACATCGAAACCCGATTAAAATCTTTGATTTTTTTTTAGCTAAGATGTGATCTATATTCGCTTTACACTTAATTTAACATCGAAAAGAGATTAAAATCTTTGATTTTTTTTAGCTAGGATGTGATCTATATTCGCCTTACACTTAATTTAACATCGAAAAGAGATTAAAATCTTTGATTTTTTTTAGCTAGGATGTGATCTATATTCGCCTTACACTTAATTTAACATCGAAAAGAGATTAAAATCTTTGATTTTTTTTAGCTAGGATGTGATCTATATTCGCCTTACACTTAATTTAACATCGAAAAGAGATTAAAATCTTTGATTTTTTTTAGCTAGGATGTGATCTATATTCGCTTTACACTTAATTTAACATCGAAAAGAGATTAAAATCTTCGATTTTTTTTTAGCCAGGATGTGATCTATATTCGC